GACAAATTTTGACTCAATCGGACAAATATTGGGAGTTTGGTGCACCATTTACCTAAAATCGGACGAATATATATTTGGGAGCTCTATCAAAATCTGGGGCGACTTCAAGGAAAACTTCATAAAAGTCAAACTGGGCTGAATTCAGTACGCTGTGCAAAAAAACTAAGGAAGATCTTCACCGATTGACTTTATCCTAGTTCATACGATAGCTATACACTCACAGAGAAACGTGTAAAAATTTGGAATCGATTGGGTTATTAGTTTTTGAGTTATCGTGTCCGCCATACGCAAAAGAGAAAAACGTGTTCAAAGTTTGAGAAGCCCTTTAGCCGTCACTTGATGCTGACACAATAAATCGGCTATATCGTCAAGAGTTTTTGAGATTTTTACTTGAAATTTTGTAGGGACATTCTCGAATCATTGTAGATTCGAGTTAAATGAAAAAAAATTTGACCCCTGGAATGGGGGGTCCCCTTAAATCGGACCAATATTGGGAGTTTGGTGCTCCATTTACCTAAAATCTGACGAAACTATATATGGGAGCTATATCTAAATCTGAACCGATTAACAAAACTTGACACATATATCAATCTAGACCTAATTCAGTACTCTGTGCAAAACGTTGTCTCAATCCGGCCAATATTGGTAGTATGGTGCACCATTTACATAAAATCGGACGAAACTATATATGGGAGCTCTATCTTAATCTGAACCGATTTTCTCCAATTTCAATAGGGTTCGTCGTTGGGCCAATTAATTGACATGCGCCAAATTTCATCCAAATCGGATCATAAATGCGACCGGTACTTTGTTCACAAAAATACATGGACAGACGGACGTGCATAAATCGACTCAGAAAGTGATTCTATGCATATTCTCAAAAGGAACCATGGTCCATAGTATGTAATTTTACAGGAGAGACTGAAAACAAAAAGATAATTGTAGATTTTGTATGCCCTTCACCACACTGTGGTACAGGGTATTATGTCTTTGTGCATATGTTTGTAACATATGCATAGAATCACTTTCTGATTCGATTTACGCATGTCCGTCCATGTATTTTTGTGAACAAAGTACAGGTCGCATTTATGATCCGATTCGGATGAAATTTGGCATAGGTCACTTATTTGGCCCAAGGACGAACCCTATTGAAATTGGGAAAATCGGTTCAGATTTAGATATATCACCCATATATATTTTTGTCCAATTTAATGTAAATGGTGCACCAAACTCCCTATTTATCATTCGATTTGCCCGAAATTTGGCACTGCGTAATGAATTCAGTCTAGAATGATGTGTGTTAAGTTTCCTAAAAATCGGTTCAGATTTAGATATAGCTCCCATATATATTTTCGTCCGATTTAATGTAAATGGTGCACCAAAATCCCTATATATCTTTCGATTTGCACGAAATACGGCACAGCGTAATGAATTAGGTATAGAAAAATGTGTGTTTAGTTTCCTGAAAATCGTTTCAGATTTAGATATAGCTCCCATATACATTTTCGTCCGATTTAATGTAAATGGTGCACCAAAGTCCCTATATTTCCTTCGATTTGCACGAAATATGGCGTGGCGTAATGAATTAGTTCTAGAATGATGTGTGTTAAGTTTCCTGAAATCGGTTCAGATTTAGATATAGCTCCCATATATATTTTCGTCCGATTTAAGGTAAATGGTGTACCAAAGTCCCTTAATATTTTTCGGTTTGCACGAAATTTGGCACAGGGTAATGAATTAGGTTTAGAATGATGTGTGTTAAGTTTCCTGAAATTTCTAGAGATTTCACGTTAAATCAGTGATATATGTATGTGGATCTAATGATGTGTACAATTATATATCTGCTTTCTGTGCGGTTTTTATACCCTTCACCACAGTGTGGTACAGGGTATTATGTCTTTGTACATATGTTTGTAACAGGCAAAAATAATCGAGATAGACCCATGGTTCCTTTTCAGAATATACATAGAATCACTTTCTAAGTCGATTTATGCATGCCCGTCCGTCTGTCCGTCTGTCTGTCCATGTTAAATTGTAAACAAAGTACAGGTCGCATTTATGATCCGAATTGGGTGAAATTTGGCATAGGTCACTTATTCGGCCCAAGGACGAACCCTATTGAAATTGGGAAAAAGCGGTTCAGATTTAGATATAGCTCATATATATATATATATATAGTTTCGTCCGATTTCATGTAAATGGTGCACCAAAGTCCCTATATATCTTTCGATTTGCACGAAATTTGGCATAACGTACTGAATTGAGCCTAGAATGATGTCTGCCAAGTTTCGCGAAAATCGGTCCTGATTTAGATATAGCTCCCATATATAGTTTCGTCCGATTTCATACAAATGGTGCACCAAAGTCCCTATATATCCTTCGATGTGCACGAAATTTGGCATAACGTACTGAATTGAGCCTAGAGTGATGTTTGCCAAGTTTCGAGAAAATCGGTCCAGATTTCTATATAGCTCTCATATATATTTTCGTCCGATTTCATGTAAATGGTGGACCAAAGTCGCTATATATCTTTCCATTTGCACGAAATTTGACATAACGTACTGAATTGAGGCTAGAGTGATGTCTGCCAAGTTTCGTGACAATCGGTCCAGATTAAGATATAGCTCCCATATATAGTTTCGTCCGATTTCATGTAAATGGTGCACCAAAGTCCCTATATATCTTTCGATTTGCACGAAATTTGACATAACGTACTGAATTGAGCCTAGGGTGATGTCTGCAAAGTTTCGTGAAAATCGGTCCAGATTAAGATATAGCTTCCATACATAGTTTCGTCCGATTTCATGTAAATGTTGCACCAAAGTCCCTATATATCTTTCGATTTGCACGAAATTTGACATAACGTACTGAATTGAGCCTAGAGTGATGTCTGCAAAGTTTCGTGAAAATCGGTCCAGATTAAGATATAGCTTCCATACATAGTTTCGTCCGATTTTATGTAAATGGTGCACCAAAGTGCCTATATATCTTTCGATTTGCACGAAATTTGGCATAACGTACTGAATTGATGATGGAATGATGTGTGCTGAGTATCGTGAAAATCGATTCAGATCTAGATATATATATTTTCGTCCGATTTAATCTAAATAATGTAACAAGTTCTTATGTTGCATAGCGTTTTGAATTTAATCCAGAATGATGTGTGCCAAGTTTCGTGAAGATCGTTCAAGACTTAAATATAGCGCCCATATATATTTTCGTCCGATTTAATGTAAATGGTGCACCACATGTATCTTTCGATTTGCACAAAATTTGGCATAGGGTTCTTAATTGATGCTGGAATGATGTGTGCTGAGTTTCGTGAAAATCGATTCAGATCTAAAATCTATTTTATTTAATCTAAATAATGTTCCAAGTTCTTATGTTGCATAGCGTTTTGAATTTAATCCAGTATGATGTGTGCCAAGTTTAGTGAAAATCGGTTGAGATTTAGATATAGCTCCCTTATATTATAGATTGATTTTAAGTAATTGACGCACCAAGGAACCAATATATGGCTGATAGGAACAAACTGTACTGAAATTAGTATAACCTAACCTGTGATAAGTTTCGTTGAAATCGGTTTATATTGGGATATAGCATCCATATATAAGTAAATTATGCATCAAACTCCTCATATTTGTTAGATTGACATCAAATTTTGCACAACGTACAAAATTGAGCATAGAATAACGTAGATGGGTTTTCTAGAAATACAGACCTAGCCCAACGGATGGCCTATTGATATTTGTTTGAAGTCGATTTACATACTTTTGTTCCATTGTAACAAACGAATGACATGTTTATGGATAGATCTAGGTCGCTTAACATTTAGATAAATATCACATATTTTATTTCATACAATTTCATGATAATAGTCCTGTTTAATATACCCATAGTGTGATGCAGGGATATGAGGTTATAAAAAAGTTATAACCCTAATATGTACCATCGGAAATATCAAGCTCGTATGATCTCTTTAAAATATTAAATCAAAACAAAAGACTTAAGACACAAACCCGATGTTTCTTTGGGCCATCCGTTGGCCGTTGGTCTAAGTGATCGGTGCACATGAATACTATCGAAGGGATTAACCATTTTGATATCACTTTGCCAATCAAGATCGAATCGATTCACACTTTCTTGTACCTTTTCCACGAACACATCAGATTTTTTTTCTGAAAACCATATTTAAAAGAGTATGCGAACGGAGTATTCGTTTTGATCCAAACTTTTCACAATTTAATATTTTTATCAAATCCAAAGATTAGATTCTGTTAGCTTCCCAACAAGTGTAAAAAAATAAATCTTATTTGACTATCTGATTCGATCCCCCAAATATTTGTCGCCCTTTACCTCTGACTGAACTCCACGAAATTTAGACAAAATGTTTTAGATATTCATTAGGATTTTTTTATTTTAAAAAATTTTATAGTCGTTATCATAAGTCCATATAAATAAGGGTCACAAATAGTAAACCGTTTACCAAGCAAAAAGTCTCCATTCTATGTTTTATAATTCACATCTTCCATATCTTCATGATCATCCTCGATAATGTGATCATCATCACCAATGTGCAGTGTCATATCGGCAGGATGAGATATCACAAGTCCTTGAGAAGTCGGTAGAGGATGTGTATTAGAGGGTATATTATGCACTTCCAAATTAATGGGAGTAGATGGTGGATCGACCTCATTGATCTCCGGATTTGGCTGTGTTATATTCAAAGTTTCAGATGTTGTTACAGATTGGCTGGAAATTGACGGATTGGATGGTGGTGGTGGTATTGGCAATGAAATTAAATTAATAGGAGCAAATGGTTGATCAATCTGAATGGCCTCCGAATTTGGTTGTGTTACTGATTGGCTTGAGATTGCTGGAGATGACGGTGGTGGAGGTATTGGCAATGAAACTAAATTAATGGGAGCAGCAATAGCCATAGGTCCTACATTTGATGTCATTGCCATTTGAGCTAACGGTTTACTATTTGTGACTATTTGCTATTTCTTGGCTGCTGGGGCTGCTGCAGGTGCGGCTGTGGTTGTAGTTGTTGTGGTGGTAGTACTGGTTGTTGTGGCTGGTGAGGCTACACCAGGATCACCCTGGGGGCCTGGTGGACCAGGAAGACCAGGTGGGCCGACAGGACCGGGTATACCTCTGCCGCCGGGGAAACCTCTACGACCACGAGGACCGGGTAAACCTGGAGCACCCGGCGCTCCATCACGACCGGGCGAACCTTGTATCCCAGGTGGACCCATAGGTCCTGGGGGACCTTTAGGTCCTTTTAGGCCAGGATCACCACGTGGTCCCTTAACACCTGGCGTACCCGGATCACCAGGACTTCCTCGGGGACCTGGGGTGCATATACATTGGGGTACTGATTGGTAATATTGTAAATTAGTTCCACGATTTCGACTCAGAACACCGCGGCTTTGACGTTCGTCCGCAGCACTAAGGGCGTTGATAAGAACTGTAAGGAGACAAAATTAAAATAGGTGAATGTAGAGGTCTCTATAAAAATTAAAGAGAATCTTACCAACTATAACAGCTAGTTTGAGCAACATATTTTCAATTCATACTGATGCTATTTTCCGGAGAACATTTGCTTTTATAGTAGGAAAATTCTGAACCAGAATTCAGTACGGAGATAAAGTGGAGTGTTCTCGAAGATCAGGTGTAATAAATCACTGCTTGTAATTGTCACCAACTTCTATTTTTATCACCTGCCGTAATGAAAGGGTAATAAAATTTCTCTCCCTATTAAACACCCTCAGTGATTTACGACCTCGTTTAAATGACTGCAATAAGTGGACGACAAAGGCCATGAGAACACATTTTAATGGAAATTATTATTCCCAACTATTGGGAATAATCCAGAACTTTACTTCACTGCCTTAAATAGATCTCCATTTGGAGTTTTTCAATTAGATTTGTTGGAAAAATGAAAGCGTTAACATTGATTTGCTTAGGTCTGTAGAGAGTATCTGAAGTACCTACTCCATTACAATTCTAACCTCTATTTTCTTGTTTTCAGCTCTTTTTGGCTTGGTTCAACTTTCATGGCAGCAAGGATTTGGTTTGCATGTGGGAGCTGGCGCCCAATTGTATGCCGGTGCTGGTGGTGGTTGCAATTGTCCACCGGGTCCACCAGGACCACCTGGTCCGAATGGTTTACCTGGACCCGATGGTGATCCTGGCGAGAAAGGCCCAACTGGTGATCCAGGTGATATTGGTCCTGTAGGTCGTCCCGGAGAACGTGGCCATGATGGACGTCCAGGGCCAAGGGGGCCCATCGGTGAAACAGGTAGACGTGGTCCTCGCGGCTTTACTGGTGCCATTGGTGCAATGGGTCCTCGTGGTCCACCGGGGCCACCTGGACCTCGTGGTTTGCCAGGCGCAGCTGCTGCCGCAGCTCGTTCAAGTCTTTATCCTTTGGAAGATTTTGAATATGATTTGGAAGATGATGAATTTTATGAATAAAGGAATTTGAAATGAAATGTTGGGGTTTTTATTTGGGGAGGTCTTTGGAAAAATTATTTCCTTAAAAATACACGCCTGGAGGTCTTTGGAAAACTTTTTTCTTCAAAAATACACGTCTTTGGAAAAAATATTTCCCTAAAAATACACGCCTGGAGGTCTTTGGAAAACTTATTTCCTTAAAAACACACGCCTGGAGGTCTTTGGAAAGCGTATTTCTTTAAAAATACACTCCTGGGGGTCTATGGAAAAATTATTCGTTAAAAAATCCACGCCTGGAGACCTATGGAAAAATTATTCTTTAAAAAAATCCACGCCTGGAGATCTATGGAAAATTTATTCTTTAAAAAATCCACGCCTGGAGATCTATGGAAAATTTATTCTTTAAAAAATCCACGCCTGGAGATCTATGGAAAATTTATTCTTTAAAAAAATCCACGCCTGGAGATCTATGGAAAATTTATTCTTTAAAAAATCCACGCCTGGAGATCTATGGAAAATTTATTCTTTAAAAAATCCACGCCTGGAGATCTATGGAAAATTTATTCTTTAAAAAATCCACGCCTGGAGATCTATGGAAAATTTATTCTTTAAAAAATCCACGCCTGGAGATCTATGGAAAATTTATTCTTTAAAAAATCCACGCCTGGAGATCTATGGAAAATTTATTCTTTAAAAAATCCAAGCCTGGAGGTCTTTGGAAAAATTATTCTTTAAAAAATCCACGCCTGGAGGTCTATGGAAAAATAATTATTTAAAAAATCCACGAAAAATCATATGTCACGAAATCCACGCCTGGAGGTCTTTGGAAAAATAATTATTTAAAAAATCCACGAAAAATCATATGTCACGAAATCCACGCCTGGAGGTCTTTGGAAAAAATATTCTTTAAAAAATCCACGCCTGGAGATCTATGGAAAATGTATTCTTTAAAAAATCCACGCCTTATATAGGCCTTGAAAATGTATTCTTTAAAAAATCCACGCCTTATATAGGCCTTGAAAATGTATTCTTTAAAAAATCCACACCTGGAGGTCTATGGAAAAATGATTCTTTAAAAAATCCACGCCTGGGGGTCTATGGAAAAATGATTCTTTAAAAAATCCACGCCAGTAGGTCTATGGAAAAATGATTCTTTAAAAAATCCATGCCTGGAGATCTATGGAAAATTTATTCTTTAAAAAATCCACGCCTGAAGGTCTATTGAAAAATTATTGTTTAATAAATCTACGGCTGGAGTTCTATGGAAAAATTATTTCTTTACAAATCCACGTCTTTGGAAAAATTATTTCTTTACAAATCCACGTCTATGGAAAAAATATTCATTAAAAAATCCACGCGTGAAGGTATATGGAAAAACTATAGTTAAAAAATCGACGCCTATGGAAAAATTATTGTTATAAAAAATTCACGCCTGGAGGTCTTTGGACAAATTATTCTTTAAAAAATCCAAGCCAGGAGGTCTGCGGAAAAATTATTCTTTAAAAATCCACGCCTTGAGGCCTATGGAAAAATTATTCTTTAAAAAATTCAAAATTATTTTTGTAAAAATCCCCGCCTAAAAATCAGTTCAACCTATTTACCCCATTAAAGAATAAACCTTCATTCAATCAATCTGATTGGAAAAGTTTGACCAACCAACAGCCCAGCAATTACTCATCACTTTCTTCTTTGCTTTCGTAGTACTTTCCACTACAAAATTAATACCTTATTATTAGTTGTTTGATTAACACCTACGTTAATGTAGGACTTGAAACCATCAAACTTGTTCCGATCACAACAATCACCGTTATTCAAGACAAGCAACAACATTTTCGAAGAAAGCCATATAAACAAACTAACAAAAACAAAACAAAAATGGGCGAATTGGTACGAAAAGCCCACAGACAAGTTCTATGACTTGGTTCTGTGGAGGGGGGAGGTGTTACTGAAGCCGAAGCGAAGCAATCAATAAGAACTAACAAAGAAATTTTAAATCGAAGCCAACAACTTTTGCTGCTGCTGCCACAACAAGAAAGTTGTTGTAAACAACACACAACCTGTCCGGCAAGTCATACCTCAATGGCACGATCGTTTGGGTGAAAAACTTTCATTTTGTTCTTGACTTACGAAATTAAGAAAACCAAGAGAATTAGTCTTAAATGGAATCAGTTGTAATATAGACGTCGTTATAGAAGCTTGTGTTTTGGAATAACTGCAGGAAGAAAGAAGAAGTATTTCAATACAAAACGGAATTTCTAAGAAGTGAAAGAAGAAATAAAAACGGAAAATGAGGACCATGCAATTGTCCCTAGTTTTAGGTAAGACCAAATAGAAATAACCCATCTTAAAAAAAGGGAATCATAATCGTGTGTGTTTCTTTTAGTTTCCCTACTCTTGGTGACATCCTTTGTCGAGGCTGGCAAACACAAGAAACGCAAAAGCAATTCGGAATCCTTCCCCACAAAAACCAAGACCAAAACAAAATGGTCTTCCTCCACGGATTTGGGTGCACAAACACAAAATTCCATGGTAGCCACTGAGGAACATGGCTACTATGTCAAACGTACCTTCCTGCCGCTGAGCAACAAATCGAATGCCACCAAAATGAGTCCACCATTTTTGGCCGTACCCATTGCCTGGTTCCCCTGTGCCAATGCCGAATGCATAAAACTCAACTCAATTGCCATTAATTCCAACTCTAATTCTCTCGCTGAAGGTTTCCTGTGTGATGATGATTGCACGGGACCATATGAACCCATTTGCGGTAAAACTGCCAGTGAGGTAGCTGTCTTCTATAATAAATGTAAACTCAATGTGGCTAAATGTAGAAGTCACGGATATTGGTCGGACTTTGCCTATGAGGAATGTAAAACTCAATATCCCGAGGAAGTGAAATATGCTGAACAGAAATTCCGTGCCAATCCTTATTTCAAAGAGAAGGAAAACATTGAAGCCAATCCCTTGGTTAATGTGGATGAACAAAAACCAGAAGAGGAAGTAACAACAATAACATCATTGCCCAAGGAAAGTGTTACAGAACCACAACTTCTTATAAAGGAAATCCATCAAACTGAAGCTGAAGAAAAACAAAAGGAGTCCAAGGATCGTTATGAGGAAATTAAAAAACCCAAACCCGAAGCTATTGTTAAGAAATTGTAAAATGCCATATATGGTGAAAGTGATACTCAGAAAAATATTCTATCTATGTACGTAATAAATATTTATTGGAAATAATTAAAAACATACGGATTTTTAAACATTTAATATTTAATGTAAACATCAATTTTTGTAAAAATCAAGCTCATAGTAGGTCCTTAAATTATTTCGTCAATAAATTCAGGTGTGAGGGACTCTGGAAAAATATATTTATGAAAACATTCACGACTAGAGGACTCTGGAAAGATATATTCTTTAAAAATCCTCTTCCTGAAGGATTTGGGAAAAATAGTATTGAAAAATGGATTCCAAAAAGGCCTCTGCAAAAATTGCATACTTTAAAATTAGTGAGGACTCGAAAACGACTTTTTTCAAATCAAATTTTGTCAGTCGATTTTGGGAAATTTCAAGCCTAGCGCCCTGGAAAATCATCTTTAAAAATGCATGCCTAGAGGCATCTGGAAAAAATATTTCGTTAAAAATCTATGCCCAGAGACCTTTGGGGAAACAATTTTTTTTAATCTAGGCCTTGATGCATGGATTTTTTTTAATTATACTGCATAAGCCTTCAGGAAATTTTCCTTGTTAAATATTTAGAACAAGAGACCTCTGAAAAACGATTTATGGAAAAATCATTCCTATGAAAAGATTTTTTCTTTAAAATCAATCTCAAGAGACAAAAAAATTACCCACCTCTAGACCTCTCAAACAAAACATTCGTTGTAAAATAAAAAAAAAATCACGTAAACAAACATTCCTTATTTATCCCAGTAGGTTTCTGGTAAGATTTTGTTTTTAAGTCTAAAAGTGAAGGCCTACAAACCATAAAAAAATATTCCTTAAAAATCTATGCCTGTAGTCTTTGGGAAAAAAAATTAAATTTAACTCTTATTTTTTAATTCTACATTGGGGGCCTCTGGATAAATCTACGCCTGCGTGTCTCTAGAAAAATTATTCATTAATAAATCAACGCCTGGATACCTCGGGAAAAATTATTCATTAATAAATATACGCCCGGGGCCCCATGAAAAATTATTAATTAAAAAATCTACTACTGCAGACCTCTATAAAAATTATTCATAAAAAAATCTACTCCTGCAGACCTCTAAAATAATGATTCATTAAAAAATCTACTCCTGCAGACCTCTAGAATAATTATTCATTAATAAATATACACATGGGGGCCTTTGGAAAATTTATTGTTTAAAAATCAACGCCTGGAGATCTAGGAAAAAATTATTCTTTAAAAAATACACGTCTGGAGGTCTCTGGAATTATTCATTAATATATATATAAGCTTGGAGGCCTCTGAAAAAATTTTTCATTAATAAATCAACGGTTCTGGAGGTCTCTGGAAAAAATATTCAGAAACAAATCTACTCCTGGAGGCCTTTTAAAAAATTAGTCAATAATGAATCAGGCGTAGATTCCTCTAGAAAATATATTCGTTAATAAATCTACGCCAGGAGGCCTCTGAAAAAATTATTCATTAATAAATATACGCCAGGAGGCCTCTGAAAATATTGTTCATTAATAAATTAATAACACCACGCCTGGAGACCCCTGTAAAAATTATTCATTAATAAATCAGCGCATAGAAAAATCATGCATTAATCAATAAGCGATTGATGGCCACTGGAATATATTCCGGAAAAATATACTTTCAAGAAAATGATCGTAAGATTAATTTTTAAATATTCCACGCCTGGGAATGCTTTGTAAAAATATTCGATAAAAAATCGACTTAGCAAAGGCTCTATAATTATTTGTTTAAACAGCCATAGGCGATGGAAACAGTATTCCTTTACAAATTTACCCACTGGATAAATTATTCTTCAAAAATAAAAGTCTGGGGTGCTCCGAAAAATATATTATTTAAAAACTCCATGTTTGGAGGGCTTCGAAGAAAATATTCTATAAATACTCCATGTTTGGAGGAATTGACAAAAAATATATTTGTTTTTAAAATCCACCCCTAGTAGCTTCAAGAAAAAATTATCATTAAAAATCTACGGCTGTAGGTCTCTGGAAAATATATTCTTTAAAAATCCACTTTTGAAGTCTCCGGAAATAATATTCTTGGAAAAATCATCACCTAAAGTCTTCATTAAAATTATACATTAACAAATTTACGGCTGTGAGCTTCTGGAAAGTCTATTTATACCCTTCACCACACTGTGGTACAGGGTATTATGTCTTTGTGCATATGTTTGTAACAGGCAAAAGGAAACGAGATAGACACATGGTTCCTTTTGAGAATATGCATAGAATCACTTTCTAAGTCGATTTATGCATGTCCGTCCGTCCGTCCGTCTGTCTGTGCATGTTAAATTGTAAACAAAGTACAGGTCGCATTTATGATCCGAATTGGATGAAATTTGGCATAGGTCACTTATTCGGCCCAAGGACGAACCCTATTGAAATTGGGAAAAATCGGTTCAGATTTAGATATAGCTCCCATATATATATTTAACCGATTTAATGTAAACAGTCCCTATATATCTTTCGATTTGCACGAAATTTGGCATAACGTACTGAATTAAGACTAGAGAGATGTGTGCCAAGTTTCGAGAAAATCGTTCCGGATTTCTATATAGCTCCCATATATAGTTTCGTCCGATTTCATGTAAATGGTGCCCCAAAGTCCCAATATATCTTTCGATTTGCACGAAATTTGGCATAACGTACTGAATTAAGCCTAGAGTGATGTCTGCCAAGTTTAGAGAAAATCGGTCCAGATTTAGATATAGCTCCCATATATAGTTTCGTCCAATTTCATGTAAATGGTGCACCAAAGTCGCTATATATCTTTCGATTTGCACGAAATTTGGCATAACGTACTGAATTAGGTCCAGAATGATGTGTGTTAAATTTCCTGAAAATCGGTTCAGGTTTAGATATAGCTCCCATACATATTTTCGTCCGATTTTAGGTAAATATTGCACCAAAGTCCCTATATATCGTTAGATTTGCACGAAATTTGGCATAGCGTACGGAATTAAGTCCAGAACGATGTGTGTAAAATTTCGTGAAAATCGGTTCAGATTTAGATATAGCTCCCATATATATTTTCGTCCGATTTTATGTAAATGGTGCAACAATGTCCCTATATATCCTTCGATTTGCACGAAATTTCGCATAGCATACTGAACTAAGTCTAGAACGATGTGTGTTAAATTTCGTGAAAATCGGTTCAGATTTAGATATAGCTCCCATATATATTTTCGTCCGATTTTGGATTTATAAGTAAATTTGGATTTATAAGTAAATAAAGAACTCAAAATGTGGCCGAATGCAAAAACCATACTGAAATAAGTGTAACCTATATTTCGATATTTCGCTTTAAATTTATTTACATTATTTTGTCCCATCGTAAGAAGCAACTCTATACCTGACCAAAATTTAGTATAGGTTGCAGAATGACATGTTTAATTTCATGTTAATGGTTCTTCAATAATGCGATGTCTGTTAGGATTCATCTGTTTAATATACCCACAGTGGTGAAGGGTATCATATAGTCGGCCCCGTCCGACTTTACTACTTTCCTTACTGGTTTTTATAATATACTCGTGGATGGTTTACAGAAAAAGTATTCTTTAAAAAATTCTAGAGTACTCTGGAAAAGAGTCCACATCTATATCTGGAGATTGCCTTTAGTCCTTAAAAATATTTTTAAATTTTCTTTTAAATATATTTTTAAATTCACACTTGCGTTAGGTCCCTTAAAATATTTTTTGAATAATCCATTCATGCCTTATGTCCCTAGAAATAATTGTTTAATAATCTTGTTTACAAAATCGGGAATAATCGTCCCAAATACGCTTGGCGTAGTTCCTTTTAAATAGTCTTTTTTATATCAAAGCATTTTGTAGGCTATATTTAAAGTATTTTTTAAAATCCAAGCTTTGTATAGCTCCTTTAAAATATTTCTTAAAAAATTCAAGCTTCGAAGAACAATTAAATATTAAAAAATTCATTTTAAAAATTCTTAGTTCATTTAAATATTTTTTTAAAATCCACACTTCGCGTAGTTCCTTTTAAATATTTTTTTAATCCACGCTTCGCGTAGGTCATTTATTTTTTTATTTTTTTTTATTATTTTTTTTTTTAAATCCACAATTCGCGTAGGTCCTTTAAAATATTTTTTAAAAACTCCTCGCTTCAATTAAGTCATTTGAATAATATTTTTAAAAATCCAACACTCGCGTATGTCCTTAAAATAATTTATTTTTAAATCCACGCTTCGCGTAGGTCCTTAAAATATTTAAAAAAAAAATCCATCCCTCACATCGGGCTATTATTTTTTTTAACACACTCATTTTTTAGGTCCTTCACATATATTATTTAAAAAGAATTTCTGCAATGAAGTTGCAGAAGTCGGAATGCCATACTCCAGAAGTTGGAATGCCATACTACAGCCAATTAGGATGGAAAATGGACATAGCGTCCTACAAATATTTAAAATGGAACTATGGAACTATGTGAAAACATGGTCTAATACTAACAATTTTCAGCTTTCTTTACCCACAAAGGAGTTGACAAATGCGTTGAGCCTTTTCACTACAATTCATTAAATTATCTAATCTGCAATCGAATTCCCATTCCCAAAATCCAATTCAAAGAAGAAAACACCTAATTTTTCAAATCTGTAAGTCATATTCACTTTATTATTCCATTTTATCCTTTCTTTCCTTCCTTCGTTTCATTAGAAAGGTCTCAATTCAATATCATTTTTATCGTAAACCTGATGATCGTGACTAGTAGAATCACCTAGACTTTTTGCCATGCCTGTTGGTTTGGCCATACCAATGGAAAATTTCAACATTAAATCTGCCAAAGGAGTGCTAACATATTGTGTGGAAGAGGAAACGGTGCGGAAGGTTAGATGACGTTTTGGTTTTCCGTTGGTCGAAGAAGAGGAAAATGGTGAAGAGGCTTCTTCGGCATGTTCCGTAGGTTTTGGTCTAGACGTTGTACTACTGGTCACCTTAGAAGGTTTGGGT